CTTTTGAGGAATATGAGTTTGAGGATTGTTGGGGATTTAGACATTGGGGAAGGTGGGGATAATTGGGCCTCCGGTAACCTCACTCACACGACGAAACAAAATGCAAGCGTTGCTTCACTGTCAGATTTTTGTCTTTAGAATAATATCAATAAAAGTCTGCCAGTGTGTAGTCAGTCTTAGATATACTTGGACATTTTATCAACTTATCGGTATTCCAACACGTAGTTTGTGCACGTGTTAGGTATTATTATTGCAAATATACACTATGTATGTATATATAATATAATAACTATTAATGGTAGTTTAGTTAGATCATATTTTGCTCCATATGTTGCTGTGCCTAGCCGGGTTTCATGTTGAAACTGTACCTCATGTAACACCAACAATTGTACACATGATATGCAATAAAAAATTTTGAATTTGAATTTGAATTTAGAAAGAAAGAAATATAATTTATTCGCCACCAGGCATGGTCAAAGTCAAAATCATTTATTTCAATTAGACCAGAGAGGCACTTTAAGAACGTCAACAAAAAAAATTAAAAGTGAAGCTATTTGCTCATTCCAAGGTGTAGATTCCTATCTAGAAGAACGAGCAAGAAACTCCATAGGTTACTCTTTTTCAATCAAGTTCACAATACAATTCACTAGTTACATTGTATTGTTGTTTGGGTTGGACCACCGAATATGAACACACAAAATAACATTGAAAAACAAAAATATTAAAAAAACAATAAGAACATAAAATAACATTTAAAAAAACAGCAGTAAAAAAACAATGATGGCAAAAAAAACATAAAAAAGCAAAATACTAGCTACTCCTGCACGCTTTTGCCCGCTCTGCTCGACTCCTATATGTTGTACCGTGATGTTTTATAACATCCTTATTATTAATTATCAATACATAGTATAAAACAAAGTCGCTTTCGCTGTATGTCCGTATGTATGCTTAGATCTTTAAAACTACGCAACGGATTTTGATGCGGTTTTTTTTAATAGATAGAGTGATTCTTAAGGAAGGTTTGTATGTATAATATTTGCATATTGCACCCGTGCGAAGCCGGGGCGGGTCGCTAGTAATATTATAAATTGGAAAGTGAGTTTGTTTGTTTGTTCCGCTTTCACGCCGTAACTACTAAACCGATTGCTTTGAATTTTTGCAGACGTAAAGTTAGAAGTCCGGATTAAATAATAGGGTACTTTTTATCCCGGAAAAATATGATATTCCCGAGGGAAAACAAAAGTATTGGTATAGATGGCGCTGTGTGTATTGGTATAATGTCACATAGGCTACTTTTAATCCTTTTGTGACGCAAGCGAAGCCGCGGGTAAAAGCTAGTATATAATAAATACTATTTATCTAGGAAGGCTTTCATGGGACTCATAACACAAAATAGTGAAAAGTGGGTGTTACATTGTATAATGGCATTAAGTGCCGTAATGTGCCTCGTTGGCCGAGTGGTCGCATGTGCGATTGCCGGGCAAGGGGTCTCGGGTTCGATTCCCGGGTCGGGCAAAGTATTACTGGGTTTTTACAAAATTCTCAGTAGTAGCACGGAGTCTGGAATTGTGCCCGGTATATGGCAATAGGCTCACCCCCTATTACATGGGACTCATAACATAAATAGTGAAAAGTGGGTGTTACATTGTACAGTGGCATAATGTGCACCTCTGCCTACCACTTCGGGGGTAAAAGGCGTGACATGTTATAAATAGATAAACAAATAAAAATGGTTTTATAGATAAAATAGTTCTTTCCGCGCGGTTCACCCATTCTGCTCAGCTCTTATTGATGGTAGCTAGATGTATTATAGCCTATAGTCTTTCTCGAAAAAGGGAATATCCGAATATGCAACACTCAACTCGGTCCAGTAGTTTCGGAGATATGCGTATTCAAACAAACAAATAGTGTAAGATAAGAACCTAGGTACTTATAGATAAGATGTTCAATCAACAAACATTTAAAATGTCTGGTTTCTCAGAGACCGCTGCTGTTCGCTGTTAGCTTTTACACGCGGCTTCGCTCGCGTCACAAACACACAGCACCATCTATACCAATAATTTCATTTTCCCTCGAAAATATCAAATATTTTCGGGATAAAAAGTGCCCTATTATTTAATCCAGACTTCTAACTTTACGTCTGCAAAATTTCAAAGCAATCGGTTTAGTAGTTACGGCGTGAAAGCGGAACAAACAAACTCACTTTCCGATTTATAATATTAGTAAGGATGTAGTCGCCCAGTCGACTTCAACGGCATCATTAGGAAGACGGAAGAGACTGAGTGTCTTCAAGGCCCGAGTGAATAGGTTGCTTATGGGACGACGTGCTCCATCGTACACCACCCGGTGAGATGGTGGATCAAACGTCGTCGGTCCGTCAAATATAAAAATGAAATAAAGCGTCTGGTTTCCATAACCACCGCTAAATCATCTCTTAATTAACTCGTCGAGTACCGTCATTATAGACACAATTATAGAACAATAGGTTGCGGTCACCGGTGTCCTCGCGGTGTTTGACAGTTTAACTCGTCGAGTACCGTCATTATAGACACAATTAAAGAACAATAGGTTGTGGTCACCGGTGACCGCTTGGTGTTGACAGTTTAAAAGTTACTTAACAAGAAGGAGAACCTAAACTAATCCTTTACCTGTATATATTTAGGTGTCAATTTATCACTTATAGGTACAATGGTGAAAATCAAATGTCGTTAAATGTCGTATCTTACGTTAGGGGTTCCTTAAAATTTAGTAGAGATTAACAATTAATAAAAACAAGCTGTTTTAAAATGCATTCTTAATTACCGCAAATATTTTTAAACAATCGCACAATCGTATAATATGCGCTGTATCTTAAGTACTACGCCATTTTATCATTTTCGCGGGCACACGAGATATGACGTTGAATAATAATCTGTGGTTCAAAGATTAAAAAGTAATCACGGCTCTATGGCGTGACAGGGCAAAGACCGCGAACAAATATAAAAAAAATAAACATCGTGGGGGATATTTTTTAATAGATAATTCCACATATACCTATCTAAAATTCTATATAAATTACATTTTTCAATACTACCTAATAAATAAAAAAATTATATTAAAAATAAAAAGTATAGGAGCCGAACATTAGTGGGAGTATGGTCCAAGCTAAGATGGTTAGGGCTCCAGAGACAGAAACCTCCTCACGATACGTGCCGTTTCAAGGAGAACTGCCTACTGTATCAGGCCCTTGATCCATCCACCTAACGCCTCCTGAGATGAATGTCGACGGTGTTAGGAATGAACCCATTGGCCGACACGACTATATAGGGCCGATGCCGATTCGGAGTCGCGGAGAACCTAACGGGTAACCGGGGCTCCGGCTCGACGTGCAGGAGAAGGAACGGGGTGGTTTTTAGTCAGTAAGAGTCTGACACTCCCTCCCGCCTCACCCAGGCGGGGGCAGTCATTCGATGATTTTCCCCCCTTAAAAAAAAAAAAGGCGCAATGATAGCCGAATTCACACTCCACATGTCGACAACCTCGTGAGCTAAGTCTAGGTATTTTATTTGTTTATCCTTCTCAGCTTTCACGAGGTCCTCGTCATGGGGAATGGTGACATCGACTATATTATAATAATATATTATTGTTATTGGCTCTAAGGTCGTTTGTATGATTTCCTCGCCTAGCTGGATTTGAGAACGCAATAGGAACTGAAAGAGGGTTGATATTTCTTATTCATTTTTTTGGAATTCGGTACCGGTAAAATAAATATTTAGAAAAAATGCATTCTTAATCCAGGATAAAAAGTTACAGAAATTTTACAAAATAAACTTTATTGCTCACGCTTAGTTGGTTTTGGACATAAGCGTTAACAGTGTTATTACCATTTTATTATTAGCTAATTTTATCAATTAACCGACGAGCATGCACAAAAACACAGATGACTGTTGATGAAGCGAAATAAGTATGTAGGAATCGTAGCAATTGGCGTTCCATAGTCTCTGCCTACCCCCATGGGAGACAAGCGTGAGGTTTTGTAAGTATGTCACTACATACACTCACTAGTGTAACATTCAGATTTGAAGAACAAAAATTCTAGTACAATTATCAGGATCAAGTTTGAAAGTAATTCGTTTTCCACTGACGCTATTGAGGGTTTGTAAATAGCTAAAGTGTAAAAATTCTCCAGTAATCCATCCATGCTTTTATCTTGAACACACATCAAAAATAGTAATCAGTATTCGTGTGTTATACATAACAAACAAACTCCATAATTAGGGACTATCTAACAATATTCGTAAAACATTGTGCAATATTGCGCCATATTTTTGTTACTAGTTTCGCTTTGCGCCAATAGATGGCATTAGTTTACCTTAGTAGGTGCTTATTTTTTTTATTACTGCGTTCGTTCTGAACGCAGTAATAAAAAAAATAATCAATGTGAAATATCCACTATGTTTGAGTACGATTGAAAGATAAGTGTAATTATTTTTGTTTTTGACGTTATGAAAATTACCTAGGTAAATACATGGTCTACCACCTGCTTCATAAAAACCCATGAATTACTAGTTAATGCAACGGAAACGTTTTAAATCGAACACAGGGCGTGGACAAGTAATAACATACAAGAGTACATACAAAATTACTGTTTACATAACTTACTTCGTCGTAAGTAATAATTAGGGAAAATTATAAGCGACCGGCGAGTCATCTATCAATGAAAACTTATAATAACATTACTTGTTTTCTAAGTAATTCCGCTACTCATTGGTAGATGGCGTTTTTACCAAGTTGCGAAATTTGCTAATTAGATTTTCCCGAAATAAAAGTTAATAATTCATGAGCAAAACTACGACTCTTATAGAATATTTATTTTCTAAGATAACAATAGGTGTGTGAAAGGTAACCTTTCGTAATCGGACGGATGTTATCTATAGAGCAATAATTCTCTTTCGTTCGTATAGCTCTGTCCCTTTTCAGCTGTCGGCATGACGTGTGCTTTTCACGCCGCTGTCGTCGATTGTGGCGAAGTCAGTCACAAACCGATTCCGATGTCGTATGATCTTGTATTTGATGTTATTTCATCAAATATTATTACAAATAACCTTTGTATCGTGTTTTAAGTGTTTTACGCGAAATTAACTACGATTTAAGTGCGAACTAGAGCCGAATATCTGTGTATTTCGCGAGTGTTTCATAGTGTAAAGTGCAACTTTATGAAAAACAGTAAAACTCGCTGTTTTCCTAGTGCTTTTACTTGTTTTAGTGGATTATCTTCCGTTATAGGAGTTAACGGAGCGTTACAAACCTTTGGTGCTACAGTCTTTGTGTAAAAATACTTTAATTACAGTTTTACCCAACTTTACAATTTAGAGGTTACCTATCCTTAGTATTTTTTTCTTATAGGCACTATAAACAACTTACATCCTTCTTTTACCCTTTTTGGGCTTTAAAAAGTAATTTGCTATGTCTATGATAAGCAAAACAAACAAAACCTCATTTTATCGATTCTTATCTGAATGCTATTGACTCAAGTTTAATTTTTGTTTATTAAGTGCGAATTACGTATACTAAATTACCTACAAGGAACCTTAAAAATATTGTTATACTCATATGAAAACCTTTATTCGTTTCACTAAAATCGATGTTAGGCAGAATAAACAAAGTACCTTGGCTCACTTTAATTAAATCTATGCTAACTACCTACCTACTTTACATTATTATTATTTTTCTAATGAACATGAAACCGGTTTTTATAATTACATAAATGAAATGACATGTTTTGTATACCACCTTGTTATTTATTATTTTTCCTGTACCATTTTAAAAACAATATTTTGTTTTGAAGTTTCTTGCCTCTTGGTTGGTTGGCAAGAAGTTTTTTTAAATCATATTCTAAAAAAGTTTTAGCTAATAGAGATTTAAGTTTTTTTTTATATACAGGAACTTATGACAGTGACTCAGGGTTTTTAGCTATAGATGTAATACCTAGAAGGTATTTTATGAATAAATAGTTATTATTACAGTTTTAAAGATAAACATTAATTTTACAAGTTTAATTAAGTAATACGCAAGTTCTTTAGTGGAATAACTATACTAAGACAATGAAGTAATTTATTCAAATTCCAGCTTAACATACCAATTTTATTTTACATAATTAAAAATCTTGCAGTTACATATCTTTATTTAATCTATTAGGTACCTAGGTTAGGTCATTAGGATGCAACAGTAGCTTTTAAATATTTTATATACCTATGACCTTCAAGTTTTATGCCAAGTATAGGGATTATGGTGGGCCCTTTTAAAATCTCCCGAATGGACTCAATAATTAAGCGTGGCAGTGGGAGAGTTGCTGAAACAGTTTTCTATCGATAACCACTAAGTTAGGACGGAGACCTTTGTTCATTAGTAATATTATTTTGGTTGACGATGGTGATGTTTCTTTTAAGATTATCCAAAGTATTGTCAATCATTTGCAATCATTGTGCAATACATGATTTTGATTACAATAACTATGTTGTTATCTATCAAAATAATAATATTTTTATTTGATAAAATCCTGAATAGAAAAATTATCTACTGTCTGTCTATCAGACAATTGTTGTCTTTACATTTTTAATTTTATATGAAAACTAGCTAAGAGTATATTTCTTATATTTATTTACTTATTGACAAAGACTTATCTCTTAAGAGCGGGTGTACCATAATCACCACAATTGGCAGAATGCTCATGAATCATGGTTAATAGACTATCTAAGAAACATAATATTTCACTCAAATAAGTAGGATATCTGGAGATAAGCATGTTCCAACAGACAAACTTCAGCTCTATAATATTAGTTCAGAAAAGATATTGAAGCCCTTATTGCAATCAGGAAATGCAGTAAAACCAGACTCATTAGTTGAATGCATAATGAATGGCAACCATTATCTATGCGTGGTAAGCTTTACCTTGTATTTGAGGCCAAGGACATAGAATGAATGCACCATAGATTATCCAAATCAATACATAATGCTACCTTTTTTATGTAAAAGGAAATCGTCTTACTGTCTAGTTCATGATGTATGAATTTATATGAATCGTAAATAAAAAATGGCAATTTAGGAACGAAAATATTTTTATTTAAATGGACTTGTTGTAAGTGTTAGTTAATATTCTAACTAGGTATGTACAATGTCAGCAAACCTGCAGTATTTTTGTTATAGTTATACTAGCAAAAATGTAAAGCAGGTCAAGGCATATGCAGGCAGAATGACTGAATCTCATTGCCTTATTCTACATAGGTACTTTGTTTTAAAAAGTAACTGACTAAAGTACTAGTATTCCTATATTAAACTTGTTTAGCGCAAATAAATTGAGATATTTTACATAATATTATTATTATCCTTGATGTAATTCAAAGAATTACCTAAAACAGAAATGTTTGTAGATATTATATATCAAATGCCTGTGACGGTTAGGTTCCAGACCTACCTATTACTATACCACTGTAATATTTGTGATAATATTACCGTGACTATACCCTTCAATTAAATAAAAAGATATGCCATAACTCCCAAACTTGGTAGATTGAAGTTTAAAAGGTTCAGATTTAACAGAGAATGCTTTTCCCAATTTATGTCAAATGTGTCCAACAATCCATAAATTACTAATTTCCAATAAGTCAATAATGCACTTGTATTGTAACGCCTCTCATGACATGGTGACGTTGATTGCTTACCATCAGGTGATCCGATCCGTTTACCGACTGTTGACAGAAATCAATTGTTGACAGAGTTTTTGTCAAAAATTTAGGCCGATCGATATATAGGTTTTATCGTGTTGGCGACTCGGTTGCTAAAGGGAAGAAAAAAGATATATAGATTTTAGATTCATATTCGTTATTAATTTTGGCGGTTATACAACTACTGAAATACAGTCAGGAGATCAGGGATGGTGGTTAATGTGATCTACCCTGCTGTCACCACTTGACTTATATAAGACTAGCTTTTGCTACCGGTTTCGCTCGCGTTCCCGTAGGATAAAAAGTAGCCTTTCTATTATTCCAAACTATTATCTACCCCCGTTCCAAGTCTCATCCCAATCCCTTCACCCGTTTTGACGTGATTCAGTAACAGCATACAAACTAATTTTCACATTTGTAATATAATATAATAGTAAAATTGAGTATTGTAGCATCACTACACAGTATAAACAAAGTCGCTATCCGCCGTCTGTCTCTCCCTATGTATGCTTAGATCTTTAAAACTACGCAACGGATTCTGATGCAGTTTTTTTTTATAGATAGAGTGATTCTTAAGGAAGGTTTATATACACGAGCGTAAGGCGCGTCGCGTTCCGCACGCGCCTCAAAGAGCCATCAGACCACCACAGATGGTGCCCAACAGGGCCTATGCCGATTCGGAGTCGCGGAGTACCTAACGGGTTACCGGGGCTCCGGCTCGACGTGCAGGAGAAGGAACGGGGTGGTTTTTAGTCAGTAAGAGTCAGACTCCCTCCCGCCTCACCCAGGCGGGAGCAGGCATTCGATGATTTCCCCCCCCTTAAAAAAAAGAAGGTTTATATATGTATAATACATGCATTTTGCAAACGTGCGAAGCCGGGGCGGGTCGCTAGTAAGATTATAAAATTATAAATGTGTTCAAAATGATTTTAAGGTGCAAAGTTTATTCAAATTGATTATTGATAATAAAATGTAACTATTCATGATTAGTTAGCAGTTTTACAATAATAGCTAGATGACATTGAACAAAATATTATGATTATTGAATCATTTAGGTACTTATAATTTTTTTATGAGTTTTGTATGAGAGACTGTACTGTGACGTCATAGTGTTTGCGTCAAATAACATGCGTGGTAATTTAAGTTAGCTGCAAAAGACGAAAATTATTAAGTAGTGTCTGATGTCGTAAAATCGATTACTAATTTAATGAAAATGTGACCATTTTGTAATACTTTATTGTACCTATTAAAAGGTCTAAATAATTTACTTTTACTAGCGTCTAACACCGACTTTTCCCGCGTCCTCGAGGAATGAAAAGTAGCCTTTACCTTATTCTAGACTAAGGATGTTATGGATATGAAATTTCGGATACGGATATTTTTTTTTTTTTGTATGTTTATTTGTAATCGGTCTCTTGACCATGAGCAAATTTTTGGACGTCATTTGACTTGTAGACGAATCTCTCCATTAAGAGATCAGTCTCTTATTTCGAGGCCAGCCTAGGAGTTTGGGTGGCCAAGTTCCATGAAGTCTCGTCTTTTCAGCCGCTTTGTGTACGCAGGCATAGTGAGTTGGGTTGCCAGTTCATTGGGATGTTTTTTCAGCCGTGATGCATATCTACTGGCATGTAGCGGATACGGATATAGAAATGTTTTTTTTTTAAACGTTGCCCCACACTAGGATTTTCTCCTGTATTGTGTGTGCGTTTACAAACATACAAGTTTACATACACATCACACACAGACACGGAACAACAAGCAGTTGATTACACAAAGAGTGTTCCGTGCGGGAATCGAACCCGCGACACGTTGCGCGGCAGCCAGTTGCCCTTGGATACGCTTATGGATCCGTTGTTAGTTTCGGATAATTTCGGTGACGGATATAAAAATTTTAAAGAATTTCAAAAGTAAAATACAAATAGATAATATAATGGTTTCATTTATACGTCACGCCTCTACCCGATAGTATCCGGAACTTTTATTTCGGATTCGCTTACGGTTACGGCTATTTTTTTATTTTGGATATCCGATAGTTTCTTTTACTGTTACGGAGCTCTATCACTGTTCCAGACCATAATATTCTCTGGTCTGGTCCAAATTTCATCTCGATCCCTTCAGCCGTTCCCACGTGACACCAAACAATCAAACATACGAACTTTCGCATTTTTAATATTAGCTTTTGCCCGCGGATTCGCCTGTGTTCCCGTAAAATACAAATTAGTAGTAATAGTATAATTCGGTACTTGCCAACTAGTCAAATTCAATACTTTTTTCGAACCGTCAAAAACGACAGTTTTCTATGAATTTTGTACGAGATTGTGTATTGTGACGTCACGTTTTTTTAGCGTCAAACAGTGTACATATTTCTTAAGAATTTGCTGGAAAAGTACTAAAATTAAGTTGGTCATAAAATCAAATAATGTAAGTATGATTATTTTTTAATATTTTATTGTATTGAACAGTCGAAATAATTTATTTTTGATTAAGGAAAGTACCCAATTGTAGTGACTGTAAAACTAACGAAATACAAGCGGTGAGAGCAACTGAAATACTCGGTAGAGAGTCTAAATTTATAATTAAAATATAATGGATACATCTAATTAACCCACATAGAATTTTCTAAACCGCTGTTATACATCGTAAAATGTTAT